GCTGGCATCCTTGTTCTCTTAGTGTTGGTAGAATATCTATCCAGGACCTTCTGGATTTCAGAGTTTCCATGGAGAAGTCAGGAGTAATTCTGATAGGTTTGCCTTTATATGTTATGTGGCCTTTTTCCTTAGCTGCTCTTAATATTCTTTCTTTATTCTGTATATTTTGTCTTGATTAGTATGTGGTGAGGGGACTTTTTTTTGTGATCCACTCTATTTGGTGTTCTGTAAGCTTCTTGTACCTTCATTGCCATGTCTTTCTTTAGGTTGGGAAAGTTTTCTTCTATGATTTTGTTGAATATGTTTTCTGCCCCTTTGAGGTGTTTTTCTTCACCTTCTTCCATACTTATTATTCTTAGGTTTGGTCTTTTCATGGTGTCCCATATTTCCTGGATGTTTTGTGTTAGGGATTTTTTGGTCTTAAGATTTTCTTTGGTCGATGAATCCATTTCTCCTAGTGTATCTTCAACAACTGAGATTCTTTCTTCCATCTCTTGTATTCTGTTGGTAATGCTTGTATCGGTAGTACCTGACTGCTTGTCCAGATTTCGTATTTCCAGCCTTTCTTCAGATTGTGTTTTTTTTATTGTCTCTATTTCAGTTTTCAACCCTTGCACTGTTTGAATTGTTTCTTGCAATTTTCTGTTTAACTTTTCTTCCATTTGTTGCATTTTATGAATTTTTGGTTTGTTTTTCTTCCATTTCTTGCATTTTTTGGTTAGTTTGTCTTCCATTCTTTTTCTCCATTTCTTGCATCTTTTGGTTTGTTTTTTCTTCCATTTCTTTGAGGGATTTTCTTATATCCTCTTTTAGGGCCTCTATCATTTTCATGAAGTTGTTTTTAAGGTCATTCTTTTCTACTTCATTTGCATTGGAATGTTGGAGTCTTGCTGGTCTGGAGTCTCTAGAATATGGTGATGTCATATTTGTTTTTCTGTTGCTGAGTGTGTTTTTGTTTTGTCTATTTCCCATCTCTTCTTCTTGTGGGTGCAGAAAGAGCCCCTTACTGGTCTAATGGTTAGGGGACCAGAGTTCCCTTTTGGTGGGTGCAAGCAAGTCCAATACTCTGGTAGTTCTTCTATTCTTTGTCCTAGTTCTGGTCCCGTGGGTAGAGAAGAAGCCCAGGAATTTGGGGTGGGTAGTCTCCTACCTAGTCCCCTGGTCTGGTTGGTCGAAGAGAAGACCTGAGATCTGGGGTGTTTGGTTCCTGCCAGAATGGGAAGCTCTGTGGCAGTCCCCATGCAATCTCCAGGCAGTGGAATGTAGGACTTTATGCAGGGCCTGTTTTACCTGGTCCTGCCACCGAACCTGATTGAGCATACTTAATTGTCTTTGCATCACTGAAATAAAACTACATGATCAGTTTGTATAATCCCTTTAATGTGCCATTGAATTCAATTTGCAAATATTTGCTCTGATTTTTCTTCTGTATTAGGAAACTTGGTGTATGTTTTTATTTTATTTTGTTCGCATGTTTACTCATCTGGTTTTGGTATCAGGGTTCTCGTTTTGCTTATGAGGTTTTACATAGGTTTCATTTTGGTAAGTTTTTTTCCTAATTAATAGCATTTATTTTAATTTTTTTTGAGAATTTTCTATATGACTATATACCATTTTCTCCTCATATTCTCTCTGCTACTGCTTCTCCTCCTGCTCTCCAACACTCTCAATTCATAATCACTGATTATTACTGTCAAACACATGGATACATGCACATATACATATGTTTATACAAATTTATCCTAATGAGTCCATTTAGTGTTGCTCACATTTATATGTGTTTAGGGGAGACCACTTGGGGTTTGATAACCTATTAGGGGATTCATCCCTCAAGACTGATTCTACTTCCTTTAGGAGCCAGTGGTTGCCTGTAGCTGTTCATCTAAAGGTGAGACATTCTGAGATTTCCCACATCTACTTTGGGACCAACACTGTTGAAAAAATCACAGGTGAAAGTCTCTGTTATATTGAAATAACACAATCTTACAACAGACATACAATCTTTGAGACACTACCATGTAACTATCTTCATTTCTTTTCTTGTTCTTGTGCTAAAATTACATGACAAAGGAAAGCTAAGGGGATAAGAGCTTATTTTTACTCCCAGTTCACAGGAAAGTCTAGATACCATGAACTTCATCCACAGTTAGGAAGTAGATATCAATGATTGCATGCTGCTATTCAGTTCCCTTTCTCCATACACACATCCCAGGATCTTAGTCTGGGACCATCCATAGTGGATAGGGTTATCCAATTTCAGTTACTGCATCCAAAGTAAGAAGCATGCCCAGAAGCAGACCTCTTGGGTTATTCTAGATTTTTGTAAAGCTAACAATTAACACTCACCATCAAACACCACCCACCCCTTTACAACTTGACACCCAAATACATTAAGTCACATCTTTCCACTCATTGTACACATAAGTTCACAACCATGTTATAAAATGCATTAGGTCTAACTTTAAACTTCCCACAGTCTAACAATTCCAAAACATTAGGAGTCCAACATCCATGGTACTATGGTTCCATGGTTCAAGATGTCCCGGGTGTGGCTCACAGTTATGACCTCCATACAATTATAATTCTCGGGTGTGAAAAATTCTATAGTGCTTAGAGAATGGCTTCCTCTCCTAAAATTTTAACTACACCCAAGAAAACTGATACAACAAAATCCTAGGGATAATAATACCTGACATATTCAGTACCTGTCTGGCAATGATGCAGTCTTGGAGGATAGGGACATCTAAACTTTCTCTTTGTCACCATTGCATACAGAAATGTATAGACTACTTAATTTCACAGGTTCACAGATGAAATTTTAAACCTTAGAATTTTGAGTTAATATTGGAAAAAATTGAACTACTTTGGCCTGCTGGGGTGGAATTCAGTGTCTTTCCTTATGGAGAAAAACATGGATGGCAGGACAGGGATAGGATGCTATGGTTTTGATGTATTTCTTCTTCAAAACTCATATTGAAATGTAATGTACAATGTAGCAGTAAGAAGAGGGGAAACTTTTGAAGATTTCTTGCATTACCAGGGATCTACTGATATAAGAGAAGCTTGTAGTCATAAAACTGACACACTAAAGGATGTACTAGGAAGTATTAAGTTACACAAAGCAGATTTTAGCTATATAACTAAGCACTGTCTCAACATGACCAGGCTTTTTAGAACAGCAGGAAAAAAATTCAGACTGTAATTGAAGTTTGGGGTTACTGAGAAAAACACTTCTGCTGGTTGTTCCCCAAAGTCCTGCACTGTTATTAAGGAACTTTTTCCTTTATTGATTTCTATGTGTGCAGAGTGATTTCTTATTGGGAAGGCCTATTAATTCTCCAAGTACTGCCTTTCTCATGGAAGTGGTTCTCACTGCTTCTTTGGGGGAGAACATGCTTCATTCTCCTCTTTGTCATGACTTCAGTGCATTGTGACACTCTCATACAAAGCTGATATCGGTGCCCTATCTCTGAGCTCTCACAACATAGAGTCATGAATGAATGTCAGCCTCTTCCTTTATAGATTACCCAGTCAGAGTTGAGGGGGGAGAGGGAGACAGGGAGACAGAGAGAGAGAGAGAGAGAGAGAGACAGAGACAGAGACAGAGACAGAGAGACAGAGAGACACACAGAGAGAATTGAGTTAGAAACTTTGGAAGGAAAGGTCTTCATCTTCCACAATAGTGAACATGCTTTTAACAGAGACAGAGAGACACACAGAGAGAATTGAGTTAGAAACTTTGGAAGGAAAGGTCTTCATCTTCCACAATGGTGAACATGCTTTTATCTGGCCCCATATCAGAAGGGGTTAAAAGTTATACTGCTAGAACATGGCCTTTGCAATCCACTTTTCTTTAACACCATATAAGATTACTTTTATGTATATGTGTATGATGGAGAACAGGAAGGGAGGAGATTGAAGGTGTGAACACTAACAATAAAAATATTAATTCTTACAAATAAAATTCAGTAGCTAAAACATTTACTGTCTATATATGAAAGATGCTAAATTTTTAAAAGTACTTCTTTAGAATTCTCATATAGTTGATATAGAATGAATTAGTTCAACTAGATTAATATTTGATGTCTGAATTTTATGAAATAATAAACATCTGATGGGTTAAGAGAAGGAACTGCTTTTTAGGACTTGAATCTTCTTAAAAATTAAAGAAGTTGAGTATTTGATTCATTTTAATCAAAGATCACAAATAGAAGAAATTCTATGGTGATGGTTTTTGTTTTTATTTTTGTTTTTTCTTTGGTTTTTCCAGACAGGGTTTCTCTGTAATGTTTTGGAGGCTGTCCTCAAACTAGCTCTGTAGACAAGGCTGGCCTCGAAGTCACAGAGATCCGCCTGTTTCTGCCTCCTGAGTGCTGGGATTAAAGGCGTGTGCCACCAACGCCCAGCTTCTATGGTGATGTTTTTACCAAAGATTTAGTGAGTATGTATGGGCCAATACATGTCCCTTAAGAGCTCTTACAAGTATGCTTCAATATTCTTAAAGCTGCCCTATGAATAAGGTACCTTTTCTGTCACATTTTTCAGGTAAGAACAGATGCTTGACTGAACTGCATAACTAATAAAGCTCAATGAAGATTAACAAATGACCTGACTGCACTGACAAGGTACTTCATACTCTGCTGCTGACTCTTCTGTTTTAGTTTCTTTCCCTGCTGCTGTGATTACAAACATCCTGACAAAATCAACTTAGTGGAGGAAAGGTTTATTTTAACTCATATTTCAGGCACAGTGCTTTCTGTCAGGGCATCAAGGCAGCAGGAGTGTGAGGCAGTTGCTCATATAACACCCACTATCAAAGAACAGAGAGTCGTAAATGTATCACTGTGTTCTCCTCCCACTCACTTACTCAGTCCAAGATCCCAAGCAGAAAATGGAAACCACCTACCCAGTGGTCTTCATCCCTCAATCAACCTTTACACGCTCCATTTGTACATTGCTCAACAACCCTGGTAAACATGTATGGCCTTTGAAATACATAATAGCAAAAATAAAACAATTTTATTTTTATCTCTGAGAGATATTAGTCTTTGTAAAGATTTTGCATCAGATTCTGAAGATAGATGTACATATGATTTCAGCTAAATTTGTAGGCTCCAGCCAAATGCATTCAAGCTCAATCTTGATTCACCTTCAACAAGGTTGAGTGAGAAATAAAACTTTACATTTTAAATGTCGCTACAATCTTGTGATTTTATTATACAATTTAACAATTAGATTTGAACATAATTTATATATTTTATGAAATTAATTTTGAATATATAGTTCCTATTGGGATGTTGAAATAAAAAAGACATTATAAGACATATTTTCATTTAAAACCATATGAAACATTAAATTATTTTGTGCATAATCCATTCTCCCTATTATAAATAAACTAAAATCCCTCATTATTAGATTATTAAAACACATGCCCATATTTCAAATAAAAAGGTGATTGACTCAGGCAAATAATTTTTATCATTTTAATTTTTATTTCTCCGTCATTTAAAATACTATTTTCTCAATAAGTCTTTTTTCTAAGCACTATAATCATGACATAAAGGAAGTGACATAGAGTTCAATTAAACAAATCAACTCTCAAAGTAATCTAAATGCATTGCATACAGATGTAAAATAAACCTAGCAACATTGGTTATCTGTGAAAATATCTGGGACTGAAGAGATGGTTCAAGAACACTTCATTGTTCTTGCAAAGGACCTGCATTCAGTTTGCAGCATCCATGCCCTACAGCTAACAATAACCTGGAATGGAGATCACTGACGGATGACCTTAAAAATTTAGAGAAACATCTTAATGCACACACATGTAGAGGATCAAGGAGAGAAAATCAATCTTCACAAGAACAAGATGGAGACAGTAGAAATTCTTGGGAGTCTCATAGTTGGATCAAATTCAGATGATACTTGACAAGATGGTTGAGACAAATCCTATAACAACTCAGGCCTGTTAAAATAAAATATCAGTTCATAAGTTTAACCATATGAGTGATGGTGCACAGGGTTTGTTAGAAGCACTGCATCATGGGATGGTGATTCCAGTGAAGCCTCATTACCCCCCTTAACGTAATTGGCCAGGGAGGACCTTGAGAACTCATATATACAGGTTATTGCAACAGAGGACTACATATTTCTGAAGATGCCACATGCTGTAGTGGCAGGGCATATGAAAACAATCTGAGGTTCCTGGAAATTTCATCCTTTTTGGATAGCAGGTGATCCTGGAAGGCAATATGCAGAGCATTGAGTAAAACTGTCACCAGTGACCCTGTTTAACGACAGAACCTCTGTGTTAATATCATCATCACGACAGGCAAGGTGTGCCCTTTAGGTCAATAGTGGCATGGGTGATATAATAGATGTAACAAACTATGTTTAAAATTTGTTTTAAGATGCTCTTCAAGAGACAAGCCATGTTGTGTACTGGAAGACTGTGTAAAAACTATGGCTGGGAAAAAATATATTCCAATGGGTTAGCTACTTGTATGGTTTGTTAAATGGTTGTGACTTGCTAATAAAATTGTTTCTAAATACCTTTGCATATGACCATAGATTACTTATTTGTCTACAGTGATAGGAAAATTATTTGTATAGTTATTGACAGAGACTCATAGCCGGTTATACTGCTGAGAATAAGTGTCAATTACTGTTACTTATACTGTGGCTTTTGTACAGTGGCATAGGATTAAAAAAATAGTCATGCATCTGTATTGTCTTCCAGGCAAAACTGATACCACCTTCACCAGATTAGCTGTGCCTACTTTCATGAGTCTAAGAGTCTGATACAACTGGGCTTATAGCATGTTACTATTCCCTCATAGAAAGGGGTAGGTTGGAGAGATTTATTGTTCCTCACCTGAGTTTCCTGTAATTTGTATGCAATTATGTCCCAATTACCCATGGTCTTTAGTTTTAGGAGGTGATATGATATGTAGGCTATGGAAAGTGAGTTGTGTGGTGCCATATCTATGTATCCATGGAGAATCCATCATCCAAAATGGGCAAAGACTTTTGCAATGTGGCTGCTTTGAAGTCACTCACACTCTTGCCTAATAAACTCATATATTGTCCATGGATTTTGAGGTAGAATTGCAATTTTTGTGTGTGTTCTATACTTCAGTAGTTGTTTCTTAATGAAATTAATAATCATAAGAGGTAATTCACTTTAAGATGTACAAAATCATAAATCTATTTTCAAGTTATACAATGTGACATTACCTGGCAGATTCCAAGTGCAGGTGTTTTACTTGGTGAGCTTACGCTTACAAAGATATGTATACAAAGATGTGCAGTTATCTGCCAAGAGGCCGGAAGCTGACAGCACGACACAGTTATGTTCCACATGGGAAAACTCTGTTATCCTGCAATTAAGGAAACACAAAATTCAGGTATACTCTATGTGGATGATCTATTAAATGAATGACTCCTGTAAGCAAGTGCAGAAGAAGAATCTCATGCAAGTCAGCAATGGCGTCTTCACTAATAGTGTGGTAAGGTAAGGACTGATTATTGTGAAAGCCAAGTAGCCCATTCTTCAGATTGACCTGGGCAGTTCACGAAGGTCAGCATCATTCTGCCTGTCCATAGTTCAACGTCATTTACTGACACCATCCTTCTGGACTTCTTTGTGTGTTTCCTTTTTCTTGTCTATTGCATCATTCATGAAAACTTACTTTGGTTTGAAAGTTGAGTTTTTTTTCCAAATCCATAGTTGATTTCTGTTCCCTCGAAAGACTCCAATCCATGAGACTAGTGATAACAATTTCAGAAAGTCCTATCAGAGAAATAAGGAATTTTCATCAGTATCAGGGCTCTTATTATTTTTTAAATAATGTGTATTCTGTCATAGTATGGTTACTGTCCAATAAAAATCAAGTTATTAATGTAGAGAACACTTCTTACATTGCCCAAACATTCACATATGTTTAATTTTGATGCAGAACCTATTTAGAAATTTTATTCTTCTATTAATGGGGAATTTGGCTATTGATTTTTGTAATTTAATAGTCATACTAACAACACAATAGATATTATGAAAGAAATTCTCTGGATGCTGTGCGAAAACTAATCTATTTTTCTGCTAATCCTTAGAATTTGGATTTAGAAGACAATTAACTGGTTGAGAGTGAAGAAATGCTACAAAACACATGGAAATTTTGTTTTCTGGGTATTACATTATTCTTTAGCTAAGTCCCTAAGTCTGTCAGCATTCTGACTGGTTAAAATGAGATTGTATTAATGTTTCTCTTAGGCACTGTGATAAAACAAGGATAAACTTGGAAAATAATAATTGGAGGCATAAACAACGAATTGTCAGAAAGAAAGTTGAAAGAGTTTGGCACCTGCAGATAAGGGATGATAGAAAGGCAGGGCATCTCCTGTCCCTCATATGACAGAATGAAATGATCTTACAAGTTTTGCATAAGCACCCAGTCCACAGTAGGTGGATACTCTAACTTCATGTTTCCTTTGTGTGGGGGAGAGTCTCACCAGCACCGGTGTCCAAGACTAAAAGTGATAGACTGTATGATCTGTCATCACGATCCAGTGTGACATCTCAGAAGATCTGGTAGGCATGGTTAGCCACAGGGAGTGTTTCTTCCTCACTAAAGGACACCAGGGCAGGACTGTGAGTTAGAGTCCTGTGAAAGATATAAATGGTCTGTATGGGAAAACTTTGTGCTTGAAAGCATGACTCTCACTGTTTCCGCCGAGGTACACAGGTTTCACATACTATTCATATAATGTAGTGTAATATTCACATAATAAAGCAAAGAGAGCCAAAAACCTGCAGTCATGAGTGCAGTAACATGGATGAACTGCCCCAAACACTAGCAGAAAGGCAAATGTAGCAATGTAGCAGTGCATTCAGGCTGATTCTGCCCATATACAGTTCAATGGCAAAGATAATTTATGAAGGCAACAGTCAGGAAAATTTATTTGGGCAGGAAAACCTGATGAGAGTGAGCACACGGGAGGGACATGGAGGAAATGGGAAAGTCTTCCTAGTCTTCCCAGTCCTTTGACTTTAACTGTCTCCAGCTAGCCTGTTTCTGATCAGTCTGAACTATTGCTGCATGTACAGACTTCTTCATTTACAAAAAAACTAAGTGGCGAAGTTTATTTCCAACTAAAAGCATCTGAACATGAATGGCTTTCATACTATAAAATAAAAAATAACTGGAAATACATATCTACCACCAATACACAATGCAAATAAAATACTGTAAAATGACAAAATACTATACAGAGTTCTAATAAATTGAGACATGTATGAGAATAGGAAGGAGTAGGTCGGTTGTGCCCTTGCCTTTAATCCCAGTGCTCAGGAGTTAGAGGTAGGTGGATCTCTAGGAGTTTGAGGCTAGGCTCGTCTACAGAATGAATTCTAGAACAGCCAGTGCTGCACAGAAAAACCTTGTCTCCAAAAAACAAGCAAACAGAGCAAGAAAATGAATGATGTCTACAAACATCGCATTGACAGGAAGAAGGGTTAAAGAGTAATTGACACAGATCTTACCTGCTCCTCTTCACTGTCTATATAGAGCAGACTAGAGTTTTTGGAAATGCAGGACACCAAACTGTCATTCCAAGTCTTTTTCTCCACACCAATGTAATAACAATTGTGGGAATATGATGTCCATTCCTTTGGACAATGATCACAAAGGTGTGCTGAAGAAAGATTATGGGATTTTTAATTAATCTGGAAGAAATATGAGCTTAATACTGAAAATTAGTTTGCATGTTTGCATAGTTTTGAGCATCCATGTAAAAAATGTAGCCATGCATCCCAGATGCTGGCCCATAGAAAACAAAATGCACACTCAAACATATTCAAGCATACCATCAACCCCTGGTCCATATAAAGAATGTAAGTCCAAAATAAATTCTCTCCCCCAAAATTTCTTCAAAATCACTGACTATAAGCCTTAATTCATTTCTGACTCATCATATTTTGCCAGTAGTGAATTTAAGCCAAGTATTAAAACTGTCAAATAATTATTTTGCATGATTATTTCATCTCATCGCATAACAAAAGGCATTATCATCCCTTAATATTCATTTATGAGGATGTGTGCTGATGTTTCTAGGTCATTCTCTTCCTAGAGATATATTGTTATCTTTGCCTGGCTTAAGTTGGAGACAAAATATAATATATACAAGCATCATAACTTGGACAAGCAATGTGTACCTTTATGACTTGTAAACAAGACGTTTTGGATCTGCCCCTTTGGTTCACTATCTGCAGAAATAAAGTAATGTTTAATAAATTTAATTTCTAAAATAACCACAACAACTTTTATCCCTTTGAAATTTATGTACTATTTGAATTAGAATATTACAGAAAACAATTGTAATTGCTAATATGAATACTTTGGCAAAAGCTTTGGAGAAAATTAGTTCTATAAAATCCTAAATTAAAACAAGTTCACAGTACAACGAATGGGGTAACAAAAACACTTAAAAAACTTAATTTTTACTTCTCAGTGAAGTATTCTAAAGCATGCTGTTGAATTATAAAATCAAAGGTATTGTAATCTCCACTGTTTATATCTTTGACAAAATTAGATTAGCCATCCTACATTTAATCCAAATGTGTACTTGAAAATAAAAGCTATTTTCCTTACTAGGAAGGAGCATTGAAAGATGCTTCATCATTAAAGTAGAAAGTCCCTTTATAATCTCTCAAAAGGATGCTTACATGGAGAGACAATTCTGGTAGTTATCACCAAGGCGACCAATAAGGCAAACCAGATGATGCCCAGGATCCCAGACACGAGCTTCTCTGGAGGTGATAAAATATCTGTAGAGATAAATGGAAGTGATGGGAGAGAAGACAGACACAGATGTTCTCGGGGTTTACATAAAAGATAACTCAGAGAATCAGAAGAATAAACACATCCCCCAGGCACTCCTCTACTCTGTAACCGGTCTGTGCTGTAGGCAACATCATTGTATTTTCAGTGAAAAAAATGATCATACATTCTTGAAACAATGTCTGAATGACACTGGGCCAAGTTAGGATCCCATTCCCGTCTGCATACCCGCCGGCACCGCAGAGCAGTTACACTGAAGGTCCATTCAAGGCCTTACTTCTGCAGTGCCAGTGCCTGCTGATCTCCAGACGATTGTGGGAGGTGTTTTGAAGGCTGAACTCCATCAGCTGATTTCCTGCTGGGTTACTGAAATGGAACTGCAGATGCACCTGAGTTTCTTTTGCTGCTTCCCTGGGTCCTGAGTCACCTTCAGTTCTGAGCAGATGAGTCATGACTCGTCTACAGCCCGGTGAGCAGTGCTGTGCTGATCCTACTTAAGAGGCTACACGTCCTGATGCAGTCACAGAGGAGGGGCTCGGAGACTGGACCTTTTGTATAGCTGAAATGTCTAATGTTATCTTGGGCTTTGAGCTCATGTGTTATAGTTAAAAAAATAAAACTTTAAAAATACTTTGACAAATTATTATAAGTATGGAAGATGTAAAAACCAAATTACTTAGATAAAAAGGTTCACAAGTAAAGAGTAAAATTTATACATTAAATTCAGTTTTCATAGGAATAACACCATGAAATATTTTAGTGCCTTCATGAAAAGGCCCAATGCTGTAAAAAAATAATGCATCAATTTTATGATGTTTGAATTCAATAAGGATTAGAAACTGGATGTTCTAGATCAACAACTGGGAAAGCTGTTGTATTCTAATTGCTCTCATTATCTCATTTTTGGTCAACAATTTATATGAATTTAATAAAATGAACCATGTGCTATTAAATTTGCATCTATTTGGAGTACCAGAAGAGTTCAGAGACACTACAAAAGTTAAAGGTATTGTAAATATTGGAAAATGTTTTGTGTCAAAATGAAAATGTATAAAATAAACAATATTTGAAACATAAATTATTTTTTTCAAAAGAGATTTTTAATACTTACTTTATTTGGTGAAATAATGTGTAATCAACTTAATTATTAAACTTTGAATTTATAAAGCAGTAAAATGAAGATACTACATTATAGAATACTGTTGGTTCATACCCAGAGAACCTATGATTGTTAAAACCTGACATTTTATCTGATTTCTAATTCAGTTATAATAGAAGATTTGATATAGTAATTTTATCCTTGAGTCTTGGAATCAGTGAAGTCCAGAATCATTTCTGGCTTTGAGGTGTATAACACATGATGTTAAAAAATTATTAGTGTTTGATATTTAGTAACTCTGTTTATTCTTCTAAAAGCTAAGTTCAAGTATATACAATGTAATGCATGTAAGGCAGTACATACCCAGCTTGGTGTGCCAAACTCTCAATCTGTGCCTTCTGGGATAAATCTACATGTTTTTAATCTAAAGATCCACAGGACACAAATTGCAACACTTAAAATCCACGCTTCATCACCAAGTTTCCTGTATCTGTAGGCTTAATTATATTGACAAGGAAACACAAACACAAGTGGGTGGCTGACTCTCCATGGGCAACAAGGGCAGAACTTTGAGATAATCGTCCAGTGTGTTCCACGTGTTGGATTTCCCTGAGGTGTTTAAAGGCCTCTGTGTTCCCATGTGATTCCCTGCATCAGAGCTGTGTCTTGGTTGCTCTCCATGTAGCATTTGCAGTGTTCCCTTAACTGACTGGGCAGGTGGACACTAGGGAACAGTAAGAAGATCCCTCTGTTACTAGAAAGCCAAGCCTGCTGCAGTGAGGCGAGGAGCTCACAGGAGGCCTGTGGGAGCTGAGCCCCAAAAGGTGAAAGTCTATCACAGAAATCTAGGCCAACAGTGACAGTGAACTAAGCAGGCTGCCCCCATGAGGCTTGCAGTGAGTCAAGAGTGGAAAAGGCGAATTCTCACTAGTGTGTCATTGGAGATTGTAAAGGAAATTCTCATACTCAAATGATTTTGAAATCAGTTTTTCTCATCACACCTTTACAATGTGGGTCACTTGTTGAAAGGGCTTAGTGGTCAACTAAGTGTGCTGTGTCGTGTGTCATTTCCCGAGTACCTTACAAGAATTGCTATGTGTTATAGAAAGGTGTCAGAGGATTAATCACCAAGCTTCTTCTTGCAAGAGATTCTTAGATGGGTTTTCTCCTTTACTAAAAAAGACATTTTTTATATAATATATTCTGATTACAGTTTTTTCCCTCTACACCTTCCAGTTCCTCCACATTTCCCCTCCCATCTGAATCCACACCCTATTTGTCCTTCATTAGAAAACAAACCATCATCTAAGGAATAATAATAAAATAATATAATATAAATCAAAAACAAACAAATCATAACAGGAGAAAACAACCCAACAATAAAAAGAGCCAAAGGAAAGCAAAAGAAATTCATATAGATGCAGAGACACAAACATTTGCACAGGAATCCCATAAAAACCTCAAATTGTGAACCTAATATATACGCAAAGAACCTGAAAGCTAAACAAAACAAAATAAAATGAAAACCTGACTTAAAATTAAGAGACAAAGAAAAAAAAAAGAGACAAAGAACCTCCAAAGATGCCGCTGAATTTGTTTTGTTTTGGCTATCAGAAGCTGGGCACAGGGCCTACCCTTAAGAATGGTTTGTTTCCTCAATGTGACTGCCTTGGAGAAATTAAGTTTTCATTTGCAAGAGGTCACCAATTGGTGGTAGCCTTTGGGTTAGGTTAGGAGGATATGTGTCCACTTCTTCTGTCAGTTCCTAGGACTCTGTTGGATGAGAGCCATGCAGGCCCTGTGATGCTGCCAGAGTCTCTGTGAATTCTTACGTGTGTGAGCCTTGCTATGTCTTGAATGCCTTGATTCCTTGGTGTCGTCCATCCCCTCTGGCTCTTACACTCTCTTTTGTCTCCACTTCTATAGGTCCCTGAGCCATGAGGGGAGAGATTTGATAGAGACATCCCTTTCGGGACTGCACATTCTGAGGCCTCTCATGCTCTGCACAGGGTCCAGTTGTGAGTCTCTGTATTTGTTCCCATTTGATGCAAAGAGAAGATTCTCTGATGAAGGCCGAGTGAAACGCTGGTGTATGAGTATATCAGAATGTCATTTAGGAGTCATTTTGCTGCAATTGCCTTTAACAGAAGACCAGTGTTTGGTTTTCCCCTAAGTCTCTGGCCTACTCTCATGTTCTTGGCCATCAAGTAGCATTGGGCATGGGTTCCATGTCATGGAGTGAGTCTTAAATCCAATCGGATGTGGCTTAGTTACTTGCACAACATTTGTGCCTCTGTTGCACTAGCATATCTTTCAAGCAAGTCACTCTTATAGCTGGGTTGGTGTTTACATATTTCATTTAGTAGCCATTAAAGTATCTTCTAGTATCATTAACACTAGTTAATAGGAGTGAAGTCTCTACCTCAGCACCAGCTCAACTTCTCCAGGTTCAAGGAGTTGTGTAAGTGTTGTTTTCATCATTAAGGCCTCACTGTTAGTTTGTATATCCTTGGCAATAACTTGGGTTGTTTGGATGTTGCCATGGGAGGATTATCATGTTTTATTTTAAGTTTCTGTTTCACATCTAGCTCTGTTGGAGGCTGCCCACAACCAAGTATAAACGATATTGCATATATTTTTCTCTTTGTTGTCATACTGTGTCTTGCATATTTTGGAAAAGTCATGAAAACAAAAACTCATAGTACATGATACTAAATGATGCATTTCACTAGAAATTAATGCATTTTAAACTTCTAATGACTGGCACAAAATCATAAGAATGTCATCTCACATTCTTGTTAAAATTTTTTAAGTGACCACATTTTATTTCATTTTTAAAATTAATTTTTGTTTAGAATTCCTTCAATGATATAAATATGTTTGATGGATACAATATGATTGAATATTATCAAGTTATACAGCATCAGTAATGACAGAAATTACATTAAATATGTTCTTATATTTCTCAGTTATTTATCCTTAATTGTAACTGTCTATATAGGAGTATTTACATTTAAATGACAAAATTTCAATCATAACTATGTAGCAAATGAACTAAGTTAAAAATTCTCATGTGTGTGACATAAAAGCATTATCTCAATATTTTAAGGTTTGCTTTGTAGCGTTTGTTATGATCTTATTTGAAGATTTTTATCTGCCACTGAGGAAAATCTTTATCTTGTATCTATCAATATTACAGTACTAAAAGTCTTCCCTATTCTTGTATACCTGTTTCTTTATTATTTACACATCTGTGAAATGTGTATTTACTTTTGGAATTCATCGAATTTCATTTATGTTTTCATATTGCTGAGGCATATTTGACTATTTTCAGTTCTCGAATTAAGGACTTCCTCTGCCTTGTTTATGCCACAAAGGTAAGATAATCTATTGCTCTTCATCTTTTCTGTTGAGGCAGGTGCTACCATAACTCACTGATTTGGCTGCTCTAGCTGCCCAGTTTACTCTAATGACCTCTTGTCTTTGCCTCTTACACTCTGGGATTACCTGCTGTGACCACACCTGCCAAGAGTTTACATGGTTTCTGGGGATGCAAATGCTGATCCTCAGCCTTGCACATCAAGTATGACAGCCTTTAATTTATCCCCCAGGCCTACAAAACAGTTCTTATGGGGCAGGAAATCAAACTCTCAATTCAAAATTTTTTTTATCATTTTTAAAAAATTTTAAATAGCTTTTTTTACATGTCAATCCCAGTTCCCTCTCCCTCCCCTCCTCCCGCACTCCCCTTCCCCCCACCCTCCCACCCTATTGCCAAATCCTTCCACATAGGGGATATCAGAGTCTGTCATTTTACTCTGGGTAGGGTCCAGGCACTCCCCTAAGAGTCCAGGCTGAGAGAGCATCCCTCTTTGTGCTATAGGCAAACGAAGACTGTATATCAGGGATAGACACTGATCCACAGCTCAGGGCCCCATAGGTTGCCCAGGCCTTCTCGCTGACACTCACATTTGGGGGGTCCAGATCAGTCCCATGCTGGCCTCCCCACTGTCAGTCTGGGGTCCAAGAGCTCTCCCCTGTTCAGATCAGCTGTCTCTGCTGGTTTTGCCAGCCCATTCTTTGCCAATTTGCTCATCACTCCTCTCTCTCTGTCACTGGGTTCCTTGGGTTCAGTTCAGTGATTATTTGTGTGTTTGCCTCTGCTTCCATCAGTCCCAGGATGAAGGCTCCCGGATGGTTATAGACATCAAGTTCATTATCAGGAATGGGCATTCAAGGTGGTCTCTCCACTATTGCTTAGCTTGCCAATTGGTGTTATCCCTTTAGATCACTCGAGGTTGCTCTGGTGCCTGATCTGTATTCGATCCTATGATTCCCTCTTCCCCCTATCCTACCCCCACCCCCTCAACTTCCTGTTCCCCCATGACCAACTC